GAAGAAGGACTTTGAGAGCAGAGTAAAGAGGTTAAAAGTAGAGAATAATGGACTTGTTTCAAGAAATAGCGAGTTTATTACTGCACGTAATGCTGAAAGAAGTTCTCAATTTGCAGGTCCTTTAGACCCAAACACGGGTCTTCAAACAGTGCCAATTACACCAGTTGTGAGGATAAGACCAACAAGTTTGCCTAGATTTGGTGGTATGAAAAGAGATTTCTTCCGTTGGAAGAAGGACTGGGAAAGTTTGCAAAAACAAGGTGAACCAACTGGATCAGTAGAGGTCAAGAAAATCCAGCTCCTGGACAGTTTGGATGAAAGAATCGTTAAGGACCTAAGGCTGTCAAGTTACAGCAACGGAGAGGATGTGTTTCGAGTGCTGGAAAATCGATTTGGCAACAAGGTAACAATTGCCATGGAAATTATTGAAGAACTGGAGAGATTTCCGAGTGTGAAGGGCAATCAACCCAGAAAAGTGATAGACTTGATCCAGACTGTAGAAAAAGCTCTATCTGACCTGACAGATCTGGGGAACATTGGTGCAATTAAGAACCCTCTTGTAATCAAGTCTATTGAGAGTAAACTGCCTGAATTTGTAAAAAGAGACTGGCTTTTCTTCATGATTGACCCTAACAATGGTGTGACTCCAGAAAATCACTTTGACCTCCTGTTGGAGTTTTTAAGAAGACAGGAAGATGTTCTTGAGAAACTTGAACAGCTCAGAGTCACAGAAAAGGTAGATAAATCTGAAAATAGATTTGAAAGGAGGTATGCATCTACAAAATCCACGAAGAAAGATTCTGATGGTGGGTGTACTGTGTGTGGAGCTGTAAATCATAAGGACAAAATTTTCTTCTGTAAAAAATTTAAGGAGCTAAAGCTAGCTGAAAAGAAAGCTGCTCTAAAGAAGATTGGAGCATGTAAGAAGTGCCTTGGATGTCATGAAGGTAACGCAGACTGTAGAGACACATTCTTGTGTAAAAATAGAGATTGCAGAAGAGAAAATGCCCCAGATCATCATTATTTCATCTGTCCAAGAAGAGAATCCACGACTGGCACTGAGAAAAGGTTTTTAAATGATAGCAGGAAAGTAAATGTGCTTACAGCGGAGCAGGAGGAACTTTTAGCTGAACTTTCCCCAGAGCTTGCTGAGCGGTGCAGAAATGCCTTCACCAACAAAGCTGCAACAGTGACCCGCACAGGAAAAACCCAAGTTGGCCTTCTAGAGGAAAGTGGGGTACAAGAACTACCTGTCATCATGATGCTCATGGAAGTAACCGCCAATGCGGGGCAGAGGGTTGGAACTTTGGTAGATCTTGCATCAGATACTAACTATATAACCCACAAGGCTGCAGGACGCTTGAGGTTAAGGAGCGAAGATGTCACACTGATAGTGCATGGAGTTGCTGGAATGGCCATCAAGGTGAAGACCAAGCGATATCTGCTTCGAGTCAGAATAAAGACTGAAGAGGACAAAGAAAGAGCACATGAGCTTCTTTGTTACGGCTTGGATGAAATTGCTAAAGTGCACAAGGTCATAAAACCTAAGCAATTGCAGAGATTCTTTCCTGAAGTCAAGCTTGAAGAGTTGGTAAGACCTAAAGAGATTGAACTTCTTATTAGCCATCGAGAAGGGAGATTAGCCCCACAACGAGTGAAGGTTGTGGGGGATCTTGTCTTATGGGACAGTCCTTTGGGAAAAACAGTAGGTGGCGCTCATCCAGACTTATTTGAAGAGATTAACCTATCTGCATATGAGTCCAAAACCCATTTTGCTCGCTCCATGAGAACAGCTGCTGTAAAATATGAAGAGGAAGTGGGAGGAATTGAAATGCAAGAGATGTCCAAGTCAGTCCAACTACCCCAAGAAACCAGAGCTGAGACAAACATTGCAGCTGTTAGCAACCGTGAGTTCTTGGAATGGTGGAAGTGGGACAGCATAGGGGCAGCTTGTGAACCGATGTGTGGAGCTTGTCGCTGTGGGAACTGTCAGCCAGGTGGTAAGGAGATGACACTGGTAGAGGAGAAAGAACTCGAAATTATAAAAGGGTGTCTTACCTATCTAGAGAATGATGCTCACAGCAAGTCTCCTCATTGGCACGCAAAATATCCCTGGACTGAAAATCCAGCTTCCCTTCCCAATAATAGAAGTGGAGTAGAGGCAACATTTTTGAGAACGGAAAAGCAGCTCAAGAGGGAGCCAGAGTGGAAAGTCGCTTATACAGCTCAAATTCATGAAATGGTGGAACGCGGAGCAGCAATCAAGCTCACTGAAGATGCAATTAATTCCTGGAATGGACCAGTATGGTATGTGAGTCACCTGATTGCACCAAATCCTCACTCCGTTACGACTCCAGTGCGCTTGGTATGGAACAGCAGTCAGAAATTTAGAGGAGTAAGTTTGAATGATCTTCTTCTGAAAGGCCCAGATTTTCTTAATCCAATCAGAGCTGTACTTCTGAGGTTTAGGAGAGGAGTGTATGCTGTCCTTGGAGATATCAGGAAGATGTATAACTCTGTATGGCTGGAGGAGAAAGAAATGCATCTACATAGGTTTCTGTGGAGAGATGATCAGAGTGAAGAAATAGGAGAATATGCAATCACCAGAGTTAACATCGGTGATCGACCGGCAGGGTGCATTGCACAGTTGGCCATGCGTGAAACTGCAAAGCTGACTAAGTTTTCTCATCTACATGAAGAGCGCAAAGTCATCGAAGAGGATAGTTATGTGGATGATATTCTGACTTCCCACAATGATCGGAAACAGCTGGACAAAATAACCGAAGGTGTTGAGGAGATCTTAAGAGCTGGAGGGTTTTTCTTGAAGCACTGGATTCGGTCAGAAGAAAGTTGGAAGCCTGGTGATGGTGAGTCAGTAGAGTCAACAGAAGAAGACAGAATTCTAAAACTTCCAAACCAGCTGAGGGATAAAGACAACAAGGCCCTTGGAGTTGGGTATCTGGCAGAAAAGGATACACTTTACATCATGACATCAATTAACTTTTCCAAGCGAAAGAAGAAAATGAGGATAGGACAAAACCTCCTCAAAGAAGAGGTCAGGACCAAGACTCCTAATCCTCTGACCAGAAGAATGCTACTGAGTCAGGTGGCAGGATTGTATGATCCGATTGGCCTGGTCACACCGGTTAAGCAAAAAGGGGCCATCCTTGTACGCAAGGCATTTCAGGAGGCAGGACGTGGAAAGTTGGCCAAAGATACATGGGATGAACCACTGTCAGAAAACCTCAGAGAAGAAGCTATTGAAGTGTTTGAGGAGTATGTTCACCTAAGCAAGGTAACGTTTCCCAGAGGCATAACACCTAGAGGCTGGAAAGGAAAACCGTTGGGAATAACGTTCTCTGATGGAAGCGATAAGACCTATGGAGCTGTAACATATTTCAGGTGGGAAACAGACCAGGGTATTGAAGTGAGGCTAATTGAGTCCAAGGCCAAATTGACTCCTTTGGATCAAAAAGGGGAAGCAGTCAAGGCTGAGATGTGTGGTGCAGTTTATGCAGCAAGACTTAAGAAATATATTGAGAAACATTGCCAAGTGGAAATTGACCAATGGTTCCATTTGGTGGACAGCCAAACAGTGTTGGGAGCTATTCAACGGGCTAGCTATGGCTACCAGTCCTTCTTTGCCAATAGGATTGGAGAGATCCAGAGAACAACGCTAGTTAAGGATTGGTGGTGGATCCCAGGTGACTTAAACATTGCGGATATTATCACAAGGGGAGGTAGTCCAGAAGGCCTAAAACAAGATTCTGCATGGCAGAGAGGGCCTGTGTTCTTGAAATGGCCAGTGGAGGTTTGGCCAATTAAGTCAGCTGCTGAGATTGCAACTGCTGCAAGAGAAGCTATTAACAGACTTCAGAGGAAAGCATTCTCTGCAGTACTAACCAGAAGTCTGGCTAAGAAAAAGAAAGGCTCCGTCCTCCTGGAGAAAATTAAAGTGGCCGTTCATGAGGGAGGAGGAAATGACCTCATTGCAGATTCAGGCAATTCTGCAAGTCAGAAGGAAAAGGCTAAGATTGCTCCATCTGGAAGGATATATGACTGCATAGTAGCAAGTAAGTTACTTGAAGTTGAAAGATTCAGCAAATTGTCCAGACTGATCAGAGTTACTGCTTGGGTGCGTCGAGCTGTGAAGAAGTGGCTGAAGATAAGAACTAAGACCTTGGGTTCATCAAAGTGGGAGGTAAAGTCTTTGGAAGAAAGTGTCAACGAAGCTATCTTGACGGTAAGAGAACAGGAGGATGCCCTTGAAGATCTCTTTCTAGCAGCCCAAGAGAATGTGATTTTTTCTGATACTACCCTCAGTAGGTTGGCAGTGTACAAGGATGAAAATTCTGGACTGTTTGTTTGTGGAGGAAGAATTCAAATCTTCAATGAGGATAAGACTGCAGTTCCAATCTTACCATATGATGCATATGTATCTACACTTCTGGCTCAGGAAGCTCATCAAGTAAACCATGAAGGAGTGGCTGGAACTTTGTTGAGAATGAGAAGAAAAGCTTGGATTATAAAAGGCCGCAGACTAGCTAAAAAATCCGTAGACTGCTGTGTGACCTGCAAGAAGGCAAGGTCAAAGCAATGCCAACAGATTATGGGAGACCTTCCACCAGAGCGGTCAGAACCAGCTGGACCATTTGAATTCACAACCCTGGATTTGTTTGGACCTTATTGGGTAAAAGATGAAATAAAGATGAGGGTGAGACTCAAAGTTTGGGGAGTTGTCTTCTGTTGTATGGCATCAAGGGCTATCCATACTGATATTGTCAGTGACCAATCAACAGAAGGATTTCTGCTGGCATACCAAAGATTCACAGCTTTAAGAGGACATCCTAGGAAACTGTGGTCAGACTCAGGATCAAACTTTATCGGGGCCAAGCCTGTTCTTGAGGATCTTCATAAGTTCCTAGAGCGACAAGACCGAGAAAAGTTAGGAATTGAAGCAGCTAAGAAAGGCACGGAATGGTCTTGGAAAATGCACCCGGCAGGTTCCCCTCACCGGAATGGTGCAGCAGAAGCGGCTGTCCGTTTAGTTAAGCGGGCCCTACTGAATCTAGGCTGTAACAAAGTTATGTCATGGGGGGAATTTCAAACTTTTCTTTACACGGCAAGCAATCTGGTCAATGAAAGACCTATTGATGCCAGGACACAAAGTCGAGAAGACTGTGTGGAATATGTAAGTCCAAACTCTCTTCTCCTGGGTCGTACTGGGAGAAAGGGGGATCAAGGAAGTTTTGAGTTTGAAGGCTATCCATACAGAAGGCTAAGAATCATCCAGGAAGAAGTCAACAAATTCTGGAGAAGTTGGTGTCAGCTGGCAGGTCCTAACCTCTTTGTAAGAAACAAGTGGCATACTAAAGAGCGGAACGTTGCCGTGGGAGATGTGGTATGGGTGGCTGACCAGAATGCTCTAAGAGGTCAGTACAAGATGGCCAGAGTCGTCGATATAAATGCAGACAAGAAAGGAACCGTGAGAGATGTAATGGTCAGAGTATTCCCCAGCTATCCTGTCTCGATTGTTAAACCAAACCAAGCAGAAACCGGCAAGAATGTCAAACCAACAAAAAAGCATTGTGACAAAATTCCAGCTACGATTCTGCGTAGGGATGTGAGACGTTTGGTAGTTCTGATTCCCATTGAAGAACAGTAAAGACATTTCAGCTAAGAAGTGTGTGTGACCTCCTTCGGTCAGTTGACCAGGAGCTCAAGTGGGAGGTGTTAAGTTGAATTTGAGAGAAAGAAAAAAAAAAAGGAAAAAAAAGAGACATGGTTAAAAAGTATAAATTCATCATTGGTAAAGAAGATTTAAGATCAAAATGAGTGCAGCCTATTGGTTGGGAGCACATGGTGCAACCTGGGAGAATCAAGGTAGCTGATTGGTCATTGAAACTCCACATCTCCAAACTCCACCAGGTGTGTGTGATTACTGGGAGCAAGAGGGATCTTTGTTTGCAGTGAATGTGCTTCTCCTACTGAAGTTGGTGGGTTTTGGTGTTCAAAATACCAAAGGAGAAAGACTGTTGAAAAGCCACAATGTTTCATCAACTTTGAGATGCAACTGGTAGGACAAAGACTTATTTTTATTTAATGACTACATATTTTGTGTATGTTTGAAAGGTGTTTAATGCTAGTAGTTTAGCATTTTACTTTCTAACTGCATAACAAGCTTCTTTATTTACATTGCTGTTGAGTTGCTGTGTAAATTGTGAATGTTTGACAATGGTGTTTGTACTTTTGTTGCACTTTGTAGTGACTCGTATCACATATCTGTTTCTGTGTAGGTTATTAAGCTAACCTTCTGGAATTATCATTGAGACAAGTACAAAAGAAGATCTAGTCAATGATGAGAGATTTTCAATAAACTGCTTCTATGATGAAGAACCAGATGGTTTGAGTTATTCCATGCACCTTCAGAGTTGATTGAGGCCCTTTTCAAGTTTGGGCAGACATTGAGGCAAAGAAAAACCCAGATAACTTGACACTCAGTTCATGTTAACTAATGTAGACTAAAATCGTGGCGAGAGAAGTGTGATGCATGACCTCACCCGGCGCTGTGTCACGTGACTCTGACATCATCTTACAACCGCACGCGCTGCAGAATCTGGGAGCCTTGTCTAAAGACTCGTGACTGCATTCAGGACACTTCATTCTAAACCGAGGTCTGCAGAGAGCAAACAAATGGGGTTAAAGGGGGATGTGCACACTTTTAAACAGCATAATAAATCACACACACAGACAAGGTCACATGAATTCCAAGAACTCCAGATTGCTTTCAATTTCCATTTCCTTATGAATCAAAGTTCATCATCTAGAAACTCAGTCAGGTTTGAAATGTCCCAGGAAAAGTGGAAATCATCTCACAAATGTGAAATACTGATCAATACTCAGGCCACCCCAGACCTTTCGACTTTCATTCAATCACTCGCAAACATACACGTTCTTGATGTCAAAAGACACATTTCAACTAGTGAAAACTATAATTCTTGTTATATGTAATTGTATTTTCACTAGTTAGATGTCACTAATGTAAAATGTAAATGTAAGCTGCCATTCAAAATCAATTGTTGATATCATTTTGCTTATTTTTTTTCTACATCATCATTAGGCAATTCAATATTTTTGTGAACTGTGAACTGGAAAGCATTTTGCAAACACATTTTCAGGCTCTACATTCTGTTTAGATGAGTCATGACACACACACGTTTTTTAATTATGTTTCTTAGCAAACCAACCAAGTCATTTTATAAAAGTAACAAGCCGCATGTTGCTCAACCCTCTTTGGGAATTGTGGGAAAAGCCCGCCTTTCCTGACTTCCGTGGACATTTTAATCAGAAACATAATCAAAAGAACCGATTAAAACAAATAAATTAGAACAGATAACACATACATTTAACGAAAATGAATATAGAAAATAAAAATAAATAAATAAAAAAAAACTTGTTGACTACATGTTGCCAAACGCCCAATAGAGGCCGCTGTCGCTCAAGTCACTGCAAACTAAAAGTATTGCGAGCAAGAATAAAACGTTCATAAAATGAAACTATAATAATTTATTGACAATACGAGTTTAATCATCAAGCGTAGATGGATATACAATATTTACACATACAATTGTTATAACTGTTATATTACTTGACGTCAGACTACAGTACATGACGTGTTTGAATGGTGAAGCTCTATTTCACAACAATCTTCTAATCTATAACCTGCTAAACAATACAAAACTTACACGTCTCACATATACTGTCAGCTTAATATCCCAGTCTGTGCCTAATAAGCTAGTATTATAACAGTAAAACGGCAAAACACACGGCCCGAAATAAACAAACACGATATAACGCTAGTTCACAGGCAAGCTAACCAGAAATCAGCTCTAACGAGTTTACTTAAAATAATAAAGAGCCAGTGCAAAGTGTTATTATTTTAGCTGAAGAGATTTGATGCATGATTTATTATTAATGGCCGATCCTGACGAACTCGCAGTCTGAGCTCTTCCTCGTGTGTGTGACATGCTAAAGCTAAACATTCACACAGATTATTATAAGGCAAGTGGAGCCTCAAGTTTGTGTCTTACCTGTAGTGCAGGTGTGCTCAGTTGTCACGGCTCAACACACACATGTCATCCGTGTTTTCGTTATTGACACTCACAACACAGATGTGATAATGTCCACACACTCCACTGTCCCGCAATGAAGACACTGAGGAAGTTCAACATCTGAACTTTCGTTTCGTGAAAAATGGGCGTGAGTTTCATGTTTATTCAAAACTAGAAGCCAATAAAACCCGTGGCTTCTTCAGAAATCATGAGGTGAAACTGATGTTTTAATAAACTGGCTGCTAAAACGGTCACGGGTCCCCCCCCCCATCCCCCCCAGTTATTTTTCATTCAGGTAAAAGTATATTAAATGTTTTATTTCCCTCCCAATTTTAAAATAGGCTAAAAAAAAAAAACTTTCAGAGAGGTGAAAGTGAAACCATTTAACTTAAAACATATTACACTTGTTACTCTTATTTATACTAGACATTACTGTGGCTGGAGGCCCTCAGCCTCTGAACTAAACATAAAATAAAACATAATGCATTGCAAATAATAAAATAAACAATAACAGAATACATACGATTAATATAATCACTTAATGAAGGCAGTCACCATGAAACAAAATGATATTTTTTTATGGAATATTGCATTATTATAAAATGGTTTATCCGTGCTCACCATTATTTATTTATTTAAATTAATGTGGAAAATGTTATTCATAGTAGGCCTAATCTTTATAAAAATAAAAATAATAATCCCTCTTGCAGCGATGGCATGAGGGCGGAGCAACCTGTCACTCACATGACATCACTGATACAGTAGAAAACCACAACCATCCCTTCAATTTCCAATGGACAAAATCACGTTTCATATACAGTTAAAATGTTGGACTGTTAAATTTTAGCTACCAGTGGGTGCATAACTACTATGAAATATGTAGAAACTCTGGACATTTTTCGTTGATTTTTTAACCCTTTTGTGCAGGTCATTTAGGGTGTACTGTACACTAAAATGTGTTTTTCTATCAAAATAATGTTTTTATTTTAAACAAATGTAATGTCACCCACTAATGTTTTTTTCTCCTCTATAGTTTTGCAGTTTTAGGGGGATTTATTTCATTTAAAAAAATTAATTTGCCTCAATTTGTAATAATTTAAACCGCCACTAGATGTCTACAGAGATCTACTCACTGGCTTCATTCATTCCAGATTTATGTTTGGACATTAAAATCATTCTTACAATAAAAAAAGACTTTGTTTAGGATTTAACTGAAGTATCATTGTTTTGCAATTATTTCACAATATTAGTTAACCATAAACATGATGTTATGCGTGTTAAATGTGTATGTGTGTCATTCATTCATTTTTGTGTTTTGCATTGTAGCTGATTTTGTTTGTTTGGACAAATAATATAACTGCATTTTTTATTTGATGTCAAATCTCTGACCTTTGCCACTCAGCCATGGACTTCATAATCCTTTGCCTGGACTCATCATGAATTATTGCATTCACCTGTTTGTCATTACACTGCTTGTCTCGCCCTAACTTCTACCATGTTCTCGGTCATTTCTCATCGAGGTTTTGTAACTGTAACATTGCATGTCTGAGCACTCAATCCACTTTTGTGGATTGTTTGCAAGTGTTTTGACCATTTTCCTGGCATGACTACATTGCTACATTGCTAAACGATTGCTAAACTGGAGAAAGACATAGAGAAAATGAAAAAATGTCCAAATGCAGTTTCCAATCACTTCTATCTTTATGGAAAAGTTCCTGTAGGCTACTCTTCAGGAGGGGAAGGCCCTCAATAATGTGAAAGTTATACATACTTGTACTCAAAAACATTTAAGAGAAGACAATATTTCATACACATAAAAATACTAAACAAAGCTATTTTATTACCCACTTTTTGGATGTGCAATGTTTAACTGATCTATAGTGTAAATTAATAGATGTTAAGCAATTATATTTTACACATGCATAATCTAGGATTAAAAAAAAAACTGCACCAAAATTAAACTGAGAGGGGTTATAGCACTTATAGCAACCGTATTGTTGTCCTACTGTATTATTCACATTTCGCTAAAAAGCGTCTGCTAAATGAATAAATGAAAATGATTCTGACATCGAATATAAAAGTGTTATAAAATAATACTACAAATATTGTTTTTTATTATTATGAAGTGAAGGGATAAGGTTGGATGTTTTAGAAACATTAGAATAGAAAACAAGGTTTTTTTCAATGACAGGAGTTCAGCTTCAGTCTCAATTCAATCTGGAATGTGATCTATGACGTCATAAAGAAGTTGAGCGTTTGTTTGTTTAACAGTGTCTGTCACCCGCGTGAAAACACATACCGTCTTCTCATTGTTTTTTTCTGTAGTTCGTATGATAAAGTTACCCAAGTGGACAACTATTATCATGGCACTGAAGAGAAAACATAGTTCCCTTTCGTAGTCACTTCGAGTTACGTCAGAAGTGACGGAGATTGGGGGTTTCGCATAGAAAGCCAATCCTCTTCGAGTATTTAAACACGAGCCAATGGCATGCAATGCCTTGGGGCTGCGGAAATTTGCATAGCGTACTCCGCCCTACTCCGTGAGTATAAAAGGAGGAAGTGAACGCAACCGCAGTATGTTTTCGCTTCGGAGCCAAGAGAACCTCTTCACTCCTGAAAGCACTGTTCAAGACTCTTCGAGACGAGCGTCCTCTTCAGTGTTGGTGTGACGGCGGTACCCAGCGAGATTCTGCATCGCCTGCGATCTGAGCAGTGGTCTGCCAGACTTTGCGCTTCTCCCTGGTCGCTTCAGCGCTGAAAGAGTGAATTTCCTCCTCTCATTGAAAGAGCTGCACGCGCACGTCTTTTTAAAGACGGTTCGCCCGTGTTCTTCTGGGTGTGGTTGATTTCTGTCGTCATCTGATGGTCACGATCGCTGCTTTGTATGCCTGGGCATTTCAGCATGCAGCAGCAGCGTTCGTGGATGACTCATGTTCCTTCTGTGGGAACATGACCATCTCTACACTGAGGTCGAGACTCAATGATCTCACTTGAGTGAGAGTCCCGGTCCCCCCCGCTCGATCGGTTTTCTCCATAGGGGGCCCGTCGACCCGGGGACCTGGTGATTTTACGGTGATGGTGTGGGATAAAGCCCCGACGATTCCTCGGGCCACACCTCCCGCCTCAGTGCGAGAGCCAGCGAGCGTTAGTTCGATTCAGTCGGTTGCTTCCTCGGTGACACCGGCTGCTTCGGGCAGCGCTCCAGATGATGATGCAATGTCGATCACAGCATCACTAGGCGGGCTTGACTCCTCGGGAAGTGAGGATGCGGCCGCGTTGCCTCCCTCGGGAGCGTCAGCGCCGCCGTGTCTGATCCCGCGATGATGGCCGTGCTATCTCGGGCGTCCGTGAGCATCGGGTGGGGGTGGAACTCCGCCCCATCCCGATCTCTCGCGGCTGAATAATTGGTTTTTGGGTAACGCTGCCGCCTTACGGCCACGGCCAACCCCAATTTCCTTTTTTCCCCGAGTTGCATGCGGAACTGACACGCACTAAAAAAAAAAAAAAAAAAAAAAAAAAAAAAGCGTGCTTAGTTCCCCGCCCTTCCTCCCCTCGGCGATGCGGCTGTCTGTGGGTACGCTGGGGCTCCCCCGGTCAACCGGCGGTTGCTCTCAGATGCCCCTCCAAAGCCTATGGGTTCTCGTCGTCTATGGCGGCGCGATTCTGTAGAGCGGCGGGACAGGCAGCCTCCGCCCTGCATATGATGAGCACCTACAAAGCTAGCTGCTCAGGAATGTGCACGAGGAGGTGACGGACCAAGCGAGCTGCGAGCCTGCCGCCTACCTTGTCCTTAAACGGGTCACGGAGGCGGTCGCTCGCTCCCTTGGTCAGGTGATGCCCACCGCTGTGGTCCAGGAGCATCATAATGTTCGGCGGTGCGGTCCAGGACTTTGCCCAGCACTTCTCGACCGCCTAGGAGCAGACGAAGGCGGTTTCTCTGCCCCGACGGCCAGCTGCTGCCTCCAACCAGCCGTCGGCTCGGACGCCTCCGCCAGCTCGCCGCCGAGGACGCCTCCCTGCGGCTCCCTTCCCTCCCACGCGGCCCCAGCAGCAGCCTTCAGCCGGTTCGCGTCGCGGAGGAGGCCACAGGTAAGCGTCCCAAGAAAAGAGCCCCCCCCTCAGGCCGCGTGCCCCGCTAGACGCCAGGCGAAGCGATGTTCCTGAGGCGGGCCGCTCAGTGATAGTGTCATGGTTTTTCTCAGGAGGCGGTGGCAGGGCCCCTCCTTCCCCGGTGGAGGGCCGGTGGAGAATCTTTTGTTCTAGCTAGCTCCCTGAGCTGGTTGAGGAAAAGCTGACACTGTCATTGAGCACACAGACTGGAATGAGCGCGCACGACGTCCAGTGCGTCGCCCCGTTCATTCCTCTCTGTCTCGGAGGGCGCGGAAGGGTGCGTGTGTCGTCCCCGGGCTACGCCAATCCCTTCCCCCTCTGTCGCCAGACCCCCGGCAGAACAGACCCCCGTGGAACGCTCTGCCTTCCCTGGTCTCTTCTGTCGGGGAGCGGGTTTCGACGGTGCATCCGGACGGAGTAACTCCTGCACGCATGCCGGTCGACCCGCCTCGCTGCCCCTCCGGGGGGACGTCTGTGGTTCGCATGACCCCGTTGGCTCACTTCCTGGAAGCCTGGCTAGCGCTTCCCGGGGTTCCCGCTGGGTCATCAGAACGATCAGATTCGGCTACGCGATTCAGTTCGCACGGTCTCTTCCCCGCTTCAGGGGAATTCGCTCCACGATGGTTGGTGGCAATGCCCCAGTCTTGAGAGCGGAGATTGCGACCCGGCTGGCGAAGGGTGCAATCGAGACGGTCCCTCCAGCCAAGGTGAGGTCCGGGCTTTACAGCCCCTACTTCATTGTCCCCAAGAAAGACCGGTGGGTTACGACCGATCCTAGACCTGCGCATTTTGAACCGTTCTCTCCATCGACTACCGTTCAAAATGCTCACGGCCAAACGCATTTTCGAATGTGTTCGGTATCAGGATTGGTTTGCAGCGATCGACCTGAAGGACGCGTACTTCCATGTCTCCATTCTCCCTCGACACAGACCGTTTCTTCGGTTTGCCTTCGAGGGCCAGGCATACCAGTACGCCGTTCTCCCATTCGGGTTAGCTCTGTCCCCTCGCGTCTTCA